GCTAACACAACACATGCACGCACCTTTCTCTGTGGCTTTTTTTGTAGTGACGAATGAAGTTGGATGTTGTGGTGGTCCTGTCACTGATCTTTATGCTGCAGACCCTGCATACCACTGTTCTCTTCTTATTACCGTCATCGACAAAATAATCCTTGAATCCAAACTTCACTATTTTTGGAGTAAAGCTAGCCGCTGCCATGTTAGAGACTCCTGCCTTCTAGTGGGTTGCCAGGTTTGCGCGCATGCCGCTATAATCACGTTTTTCGAAAAAACTAAACGTAATATCCCACTACAAAAACAAAAACAAATATTTAATTTTAAACAGTCAAGTCCTTTCAAGTCATCTGTCTCAAACTTAAGTCAAGTCTCAAGTCATGAATACCTAGTCAAAGTCAAGTCAAGTCTTTTATCAATGTTAGTCAAGCAAGTCCCAAGTCAAAAAATATATGACTCGAGTCAAGTCATGTGACTCGAGTCCCCACCTCTGGGAAGTGTAACACACTGCAGGAAAAACAGTCAAACATAAGAGTGTTCATAAGGTTAATGAAGGTCTAAAGTGTAGAGACAAACGAAGGCCCTGAAGCGCTGCAGTTCCTTTGGACTGGAAAGCTGAATCTAACAAACTCAGCACAGGTACTTTATTTTAGCAGAGCACAATCTAACTCACCAGGAAACAGCTGCAGAAACACAAGCTGTACATTCTAAACTAAAATGAACCTAGATGCTGACGAGCTGCACTGCCTTGTGACTGGACAGCTGAGTCTAACAAACAGAACTGAGAACAAGCTTCGTGTTCACACATGACACGTCACTTGTTAGATGCTTTTATCCAAAGCAACTTACATACTCAGTGCTGTGGACAATCCCCACAGGAGCACTTTGGGGTGAAGTGTCTCAGGGACACAACGACATGCTGACCGCAGTGGGACTCAAACTTGCTATCCCCTGATTCAAAGTTCAGCGCACTATCCCACTGAGCCACAGCCTCACATCACACCAACATGATTTAAAGGAAGTTTACACACATACAATGATGAGTTACAATATTGATTTGTCTATCAATGTAGCTATCACTTACCACCTTCTTGTGACTGATTCTCAGTGTGATCATCTCTGACAGTGTCTGCCTTCTCGTAGATATCCACCTCCCTTTCCTCCTGCAACTTTCTGTTGAATTTCACCTTCTGTGATAAATGTGGTACCTCATAAATATGTGGCATCTTGAGAAATGTTGCCCCGTTAACGTTAAACACTGTACTGTGGTTTCTGCTAGTGTTTCTGAGAACAGTTTCTGTATGGCATCAGTAGAGATTATAACGGAAGTACCAGGACACACACACACACACCTTTTTATGCATTTTGCTCCTTTAGATAACAACCTTTTAACCTTAGTCACTGATGTTTGAAAACTTCAGCCAGGAGACTGCAAACTTCAAATACAAAGTCAAATGGAAAATGCATATATACAAATAATTTGTATTATTCTATTAAATGTTTTCTTAATTTCAATAAAGGAGATATTTTCAAGACTCAAGGTTTCCTGTCAGCCATGAAACCCTTAACCATATCAATTCATAGCTTGGTTGAAGGCACCACAAACATACACACACACACACACACAACACTGTAACACCAGTTTGGCGGTTTTCCTTACTTCAGGTATGAGACTGCAAACTATTAATACATAGTTGTGAAGAAAGAAATGTATGTAAGAAAAGTAACTATATTTACCTTTGTTTAAATAAATGTGAGAGTTTTCAGATACAAGATTTTCTGTCAGACATTAAATCTAACCATCATCAATTCACAGCTTGGTGTGGAAGCGTGGTTGTGTGTGTTTGTGGTTGACACGGAAACAAAAAAACACACACACAGGACATTTAGTTAAAAACAGGAAATGTTTTTTTCTCACTTATTGTTGATACTGTTGCCTTCTATCTTGCTTTGGATCCAGGTAACAGAACAAAGGCATTAGGTTCAACCATAACTATCAGACTCATCAGATACTTATACATTAAGTAAAAGAATGGGCAAATATATCATTTTAAAATTAGGAGCAATATATTACAATTTATAAAACGGACAAGTCAAATCAAGCAATCTGATTGGTTCTTAGCCGTGATATACTGAGCGTATACCACGGGTAGAATTGTAAGTTACTTTTCACAACAAGTCAGTATCCCTCCGCGTCTGAGAAAAACAGTATACCGTTGGGCTGAAACGGTATACGCTTCGCGTCGGGCCGAACCACGCCCCTTAGCTGTGATATAATGAGCATATACCACGGCCTGTCGTGAGCTATTGCTTAAGTAGAGTATATATTTGTACACATATTTTGTTTGTAAAGCAGAAAAGGTGAACAACTACACTGTATGGTGCACCTTGTGCTTTTTGAATTGTAAACATGCAGCATATAAACCACACTTAACAAAGTCATGTTACATTTAGGAGGCTGTGTCTTGTGTTGCTTTGGATAAAATCGTCTAACAAGTGAAATGTAATGTAATGTCATTGATATGCTTCTAATTATGTTGCACCCAGAGACGCAAGCTGAAGAATGGATCTACTTTTCCTTATGGCAATTTATTTTCTGTACTAAAAGGGACAGTGTGTTTGAGAGGCATATAGCATTGCGATTGCAGATTGCAAAACTTAATACCACTCTGCTCACCCCTCCTTTACAAGACTGCGTCAACAAGACTATGGGAACAATACTGCTGTTTATATCTATATCCTTTTTCTGACTGTTGCCTTGCTCAAAGGTCATCCTTCCCAAAATACTGCTTTAGCAGCCAAGTGCAGGCAAAAAGTCCCCAAAAAGACAAATAGGTGATCTCAATGTCAGACAGCAGCTTCTCAGGCATAACAACTGAGCATTAATACGTGATAATGATGCCAAATGTGAGCTTCATTGTTAATCACATTGATCAAATGAGAAACAAAGCAAGCACATAAGCAAGCGTACATTTTGTGTGTGTTCACCATAAAGGTTAAGCATATATTCATGGTTGATTGCACCCTGTTGCAAGATGCTTTTGACTACAGCGTCAACTAAACTAAATGTAATGTTATATACAATTAATCAAACCTCAACCTGGGACAAGTTCACAAACAGCAAGATTTTTTGGGTTATGGCCTAAGCGGTCTCCACACACGAAACATATTTGTATCAATTGTTTCCTGCTTTGTGGGTACACTTTGTAATGTTAAGATATTTCACTTTCATCATGAATTGTTGTGAGTAAAGTACAGGACGAGAAATCAGCAGTATACATTTGGAGCTCAGTGTGCGACGACATGTGATCCAACCCTTATGTTACAGTGAGTGCATTTTAATATTTCAAAAGTATTCTTCGTCACACATTCATTAATAATTAAAAGGATAATCGTAAAAAGAAAAGAAAATAGAAATACATATCTAACTGTTAATTGCTTAAGTGTAAAGGTGGTCAAATGTACATATAACAGTGTAAAACATGTCATATGTTAGATGTAAGGCAAACTACAAATTCATCTTATACAGGCTTTGAAGTACATAGTCTTTAAGACATTTTTACCAAGATCATGTACAAATTGTGTACAGTATTGTATATCTACGTACCTCCATCCTGTTTGCGAACTCGATATTCGGTGCCCGCAGTATCGTAGATGTCGACAAGTCTCTCCTCTCTCTGTCCCCCGTCCTCTCTCGCTCCCTTGGTGTATCTGACATTCAAGTTTATGTCATCATAAATGTTGGAAGACATTTGGCAAGAAAAAACGAAAAGATTCCAATACTTTTGCTCTGTGTTCAACACAAAGTATGGAGTAGCATGAATATATGGTCAAAACAAATTGTGTAACTACGATATTTTTCAAATTTCCTTTGAGCTTATGGAACCCGTCTTCAGTCAACATGCAAGTATGAAAGCTGATTGCCTTGATCCTCTGATAAGGATGTGGTTTGTAAAGCATGCTGGAGAATTCAAAAGGGTTTGCAGGACGCCGATCATTTACTGATAACGTTTGAATATCAATGCTGCTGCTCTAGTTTGATCAAATAGACTGCAAAGTCTAGAATAAAGAACAATGTTTTAACCCAAAAGCAAGCGCTGAATATGCAAAATGTTTATAGAAACATGCAAAAAAACAAAACATGAAAAGATTGATGGTTTTAAAATGCCCTGGTTGTTTAACATAGCATCCTGAAGCACCATTATGCTTTGACTCAAATATTGACTACTAACATGACATATTCTGATAACATCTCTACCGTCACTTCCTCTCAGCCATCATATCAAATAATCAGAGGTTACACCCTTGAAATGGGGTTTTAAAAAATGACCATCAGCAGAAAAAGATATCAAAGCAGAACATGATAACGCTTTATAAAACAAAACCGAAATGTTTGGATTTAACCTTTAACTTGACTTTATGAGGAATGGTCAAAGTATGTTTTTGACTAGAAAAGGACAGATCAGCCACAAAACGGATACTCATTACTCGTTCCAGTGTTTATGATGTTAGAGTAACATCATTCCATTCGGATAATATTGGCATTTAGTATTTAGCCCTTACTAACTTAGTGTTTGTTATTAATACCGCTTTCACAATTTACATTTGGCAAGTCGAAAGCTATGAAATTGCGAAATTGTCAAGTGTAATGTTTCCAGGAAGTATTTGAACAGTTTTCAATCGGATATCTGGTTTGAGATTCACTGTAGCCCGTTTGAAAAAAATGCCAATGTAAGAATATTTACAACATTCTTTTGACTCCTCCCATCCAACAATCTAGTCCACACAGTTTTATTTAATGTAACCAAAATAAATGTTGTTATTTATGGTGAAATATAAAAGGCATCAACACAGACAGACATTCAGGAAGACTCATGTTTCTTGTGGAACTGGGAATAATATACATCTTTCTGTGGAGGTTAGCCAATCAGCAACAAGCCTCTGGGAAAGTGTTCAATACATATGTGCCAACATTAAAGTCTGTATCTCTTTCTCTCTCTGTCTAGGGACCAGGTGGTCCAGTCGGGGACACAGGTTTACCAGGACCTCAGGGGTCCCAAGGACCACAGGGACCGAGTGGACGCTCCATCATGGGGGGCCCAGTAAGACACACACACACACACACACCCAGCTCCCTGCCTCACTATAGAACTGAGGTCATCAGCTGTACAGTATATACCTGATACTACCCCCACTCTTTTGCCTATATTTAACTATTTAACTACTAGTTCTCTCATGTTTTCTGTACTTTTGGAGAACAGAATAATAAAGCTGCCCTGACAGTTTGTTTTTTAATTCAGATGTGATTCAGTATTTGTAAAAATGTCTTCATGATTGCAAATATGTTGTTTAGTAATTCCATGATATATCAACGATATATATACTGTACAATTTTTTTGTGTGCAGGGTGCTCCAGGAGAGGGAGGACAGAAAGGTGAAGCTGGACCACAAGGAACACAGGTAAAATAGAAATGCAAACACAACATAAAAGTTGTCCACTGAAGCTTTTTTGAGATAATGTTGGTCAAGGTGAGAAAACTTATACTGTGGGATTATTGTGACCAGGGTTCGAGTTATAAACTGAGCTCTATGGGGGTCTTTAAAACTGACGCATGCACGCAGCGCGCACGCACACAGTCACAGGCATAGATTGAGCAATAATGTATTGCGCACCTTGGAGGTGCAGACTCCCACTGATGGTATATATTGCACACCCTTGCGAGTATACAATTAGTGTCTGAGGTGTTAGGGCTTCAAAGATAATTACAAAATCACAAAAACTCAGGGACTTTGTACTTGTGGAGCGTCACAAACAGCGCCTCCGTTTATTAAGTTTTACTCTCTCTCCACAACTTCAGGACAGACTGCGCATGCTCAAACACATGAACTCGTACACAATCAATAACAACGTAAGAGCTATACAAATTAAAGAAAATACAAAAATTTGCTCTCACAGATAAAACGAGAGAGAGAGAGAGACTGACTTCACTGCTAATTACGTGGTCCAACAAACACACACACACACACACACACGCACACACACGCACATACCTTACCAAAGACAGCATCCTCCGTAGCAGTAAGGTTAGTGCTAGCTGTCACGCTAGCAGGTGCATTTTGGTTGTCAAAAGCTGTTTTTTGTTTCGTTGTGAGAAAACCAAAACTAGCCAGGCTTGTAGACCCCGTCGGCGGCAGTGGCCTTTTTTTGGGCGGCATGGTAATCGTCTGCTAGCCTACGGTACTCGTAGTATGTATGTGTGTATCTTGTCAATATATTTGAATGTCTGTTGATATAACGGTTCATTCTTCAGGCGCGCGCAGCACGTTCACAGCCTCACAGGCATAGATTGCGCAATATTTTATTGCGCACCTTAGAGGTGAAGTGCAGACACGATGCGTAGTTCTTTTGGAAAACATTGTTTTGTTTGCCTATTTACCTCGTTAACGTAAATAATACTCATTACATTGAAAAATGCATTATTTGTGATCAAAATAATGGCTGTTGGTAATGTATATTAGCAACCCCCAGAGATGTTTGATTTCACTGGGTCCGTGGGAGCTCAGGCCCCTCCTTATGGGAGCTCAGCTCCCATAAATACAGAATACTATTGTGTTAGGTCTGCATGATCAACATGTGAATCATACATCTGAATAAATACCTAAAAAACGTATTTGTTTCACCAAATGCCCACCATCTTCTCAAAAACGTTTGACTGTTTTAGTTCTAGATTGAAATGAATGATCATTGTGTTGACGTAACATTAAACCGTGTGCTGTTGTCTGTTGCGTGCACGGATCCACCCACAAGTCATTTCTGCTCTACAGTATATTACCACCAACATGACATTTTGGAAGAAAATTCCGATTTTGAATAATGGTGCCATTTGCAAAAGTCGATTTCTGTTGTTCAAATCTATTTATTTTCTCCGAGTGACTCGGCTGAAGGAATTATGCTTACAGAGTTTGTGCAACAACAGTTTAAAACGGAACAGATCAATATTTTCCTTTGTTTCGGTCCCAGCCCGAAGTGAACTTCAGACCTTAAAGTTACATGGTTCATCGTATTCTTAGTGGCATTAATGTATAGATGGATAGTGGATAGAGCCTTGGTGTTCAAACCCCACTACAGTCAGCATGTCGTTGTGTCCCTGAGACACTTCACCCCAAATTGCTCCTACATTCCTACATGTAATATATTACTACTCTTACTTTCTATTTATTGAGATATGGCAGCTCTAATGTTATATATTATAAAATGTACTTAAAAATAAGATTTTGTTTTACTTATAGTCCTGGTAATTATTCATCAAACATTTTGACACAGTTCCCACTCAGTCACATGAGTCAGGTTATTGTAATATTCCTGTAATTGGTTGAATGTGTGTATATTGAGCTTGTGTGAGTGTGACCTTCAGTGACCTCTGCTCTCTGTTTCAGGGAGTTTCTGGCAGACCTGGAGCTCCAGGCCGAGAAGGACCTGCAGGGGTCAGAGTGAGTCAATAAGTACTGCAGCAGTGTCCATAGACTGATATGCCAGGTCACAGTCAGTCTGTTAGAATAGATTGAGTCAAGGCTGGGAAATATCAGGAGCAGCACCTTCTCACATACTGAATACACCTGAACGCCCACATGTTTTATTCTAACCTGCTTGTGTTTTCCTCCCCCTCAGGGCCTGCTAGGCAAAGACGGCTCCCAGGGCAGACAGGGCGCGTCAGGAGCTACTGTAAGCGATGATTACATGTTGTCTTTGTCAGCTTATTCAGACAGACTTGATGCCGTTTTCTCGTCTTTCTTTAACTTCACACCGATCCATTGGAACCAAAATCCTGTAAACCACCATGAACTTCTTATGTTCGGCATTTTATTCAACACTCTTATAAAAACATGCAACTATATCAACTATTTTGAATCACAAAATAATATTGATCCTACTTTGGTCACTTATTAAGCAGTTCACATCCACTAAATGCGCAAAAAGCTAGTGAATGTTAGCAGTTAAATGCATATATGGATTCATGCATCAAATAAATACAAATATTAAAAGTGACCTGGATGTGATTAGCAGGCTAATATGTTTGTTTTTTTAAAAACACCATATGGATGTTGCATTTTTTAGTAATCAATGCAGGTGATTTCTTCAGTAAATACTTCATAAAAATGTGTAATAATACAAATAAAAATAGTTTAACAATATGTCGGCCTGAACTGAGAATGTTAATTATGATTTGACTACTTAAGATATATAAAATGTCTATCTTCACACCCAGGGGCATGTGAATAAAAGCAGTATATTGAAGTTGTTTTCTCTTCACTTGTGTGTTCTTCTTTTGACCGGCCTATGAAGTCTCCTCTGATCATGAATCTTCCTCATCATATCTGTCTGTGTCTCTTCAGGGGACGCCAGGAGCCCCGGGGTCCCCGGGTAACCCCGGCTCTCCAGGGAAAATGGGAGAACTGGGCCCCCCGGTGAGTGTGTCAGTCTGCTGACCCCAGTGAGGGTTCACACCTGAAGCAGGAACACATGGTTTCATGTTCACCCTTATCCTTCTGACAAAAGCAGTTGTTGTAAATATCCAGGAGGGAGGAAGTGGTGTCAGTCAGGCTTCACAGAGTCTGTCACACACACAGAGGTTAGAGTAAGGCTCTGTCAGCAGGATTAACCTCTTCCTGTCCAGCCACATGTCACACACACTCAAATGTGGGCCAGAGAGCCGTGTTCATGAAAGCTGAGGAGATCACCTCAAGTCAGAGCCTTCCTTCCTAAAAATGTTCTTTGACAGTTTTATGAATCCTACTCTGTTAAACTACATAAAGCCCTTCTTCCTGTTCCCAGCAGTTACTCCCTTTACCACTCTATGAACGTTCACAGGATGAATGCCTACAACTAAATATGTTTCCAATTTGGTACATCAATTACAGTTTGATCCAATAGTCTCATATGTCATTAAGAACATTGAGATGTAAGGTGTCTAAACTCATAATGTGTGTATATGTGTTTACAGAAAGGTGGGAGGACTACAGAGAGCCTCACTAATGACCACACTATCTTATATGAAATGTCTTCATGTCAAGTTCAGCTTTTGGACACGGATCTGTTTGAATTAGATTGTCTGTTGAATGCAAACCATTTCTCATACTCTCCACTAAAGGTCCAACTGTAATGTGCTGTGATGGACACACACGTATACTTCCACTGACGTACCATTAGTCAGTGTTTAACATGTGTGTGTTTGAAGCTTATTTCACTTATCATCTGTTTTTTGTTGGTTTGTTTTCACATGGAATTCTTATAAAACCCTCAAATACAGACAAAACAGACAACTTCATTAAGTACATTTTCCTGATAGGAACAAATGAATACATAGTCAACTAAATGATTGGGGCTCTAAATAAATCAAAAGAAGAAAGCAGAGAGGACACAGGAGGAACATACGTATGCAGATCGTTGAACATATAGAGAACCTTTAGTTAAGCCGTCTGTTGTTACCTGAGCAACGAGCAGTGCGTTTACGGTTAATCTCTTTTTGTTCCTTATTGATTCTTCTCTGTTGCAGGGTCTTCTGGGAGGCAAGGGGGAGAAAGGTGAACGGGTAAGTGTAATGCATGTTTTCGAATGAAGGAACTCATTTGTACACACTAGCATAAACTAACAGGAGCAGGTCCAAGCGAAACACTGTAAAGAAACATCGTTCTTTCACTACTCAGTAATGCATCCTCTACTTATTACTTTTTTTCAGATCAAATGTGAGATGTGCAGGGAGCAATAAAGCAAATAAGTTAGATAGAAAAACAAAGAAGGAGGCAGACAAACATAGATTTATTCAAACTGCCTCAATCTTCTGCAACATTCTAGAAAAAGGAAACTAAATGCACCGGCACTCTTTAGTGATGTGAAGGCTGTGCAGAGTGTGTGCTGTAACATCCCTCTGCTCCGTCAGTCTCAGACCACAGCTCTCTGCCTGCGGTCTGTGGGATACTTCACTTAGGGTTCATCACTTCCCCATACTCTGAGCTGCTTCTTACATAAAACCCACAGCGTATGTTTTTATAGTGCCTGTGTTCAAGAGGTGTCCAAACAGCTGAGATATGACCCTCATGAAGCTCAAGCTTTGTGTGTTGTGTATTGCACTGCATTTCAATAGTCCTTATTTAATCAGATGTACCTGTTAATGATATACTTTTAGATTGCCTAAGGTGTTTTATGCCACGTCTTCAGGGACCAAAGACATCTCACCAGACAAAACACAAGAGTACTTACGCAGGGTTGTTATCAGTGTTGCGTGTTTCTTGCTGTGAGGGCGATAACAAGATCAATCAATCAATTTTTATTTATATAGCCCAATATCACAAATGTTACATTTAGACTTCACAGTTTGTACAGAATATCAGTATGACAATACGACACCCTCTGTCCTTAGACCCTCACATCATACAAGGAAACACTTCCAGAGAAAAACCCACAGTTTAAAGGGGAACATGGGAGAAACCTCAGGGAGAGCAACAGAGGAGGGATCCTTCTCCCAGGACGGACAGACAATAGATGCCGTGTGTAAATTGAAAAGATAATACATTTACAACATAGGTAGTCCAAATGTTGAAGAAGATGAACCCACGAGGATATCAACAATCCTGTGGGAGTCATCAGGGAAGTAGTATGATGAGAGTCAGGCAGGACCGCAGAGACAGGTTTAGACACGACTCGAAGTCCAGGACTCAGGATCCAGGACACACGACCACAGCAACAGGATTAGCCTCGACTCAGGATCCCGGCGTAGATATGGACACAGAAAAGAGATTTTGGGGAAACTGGGTTAATCGGAACATGAGAGTACACAGGTACTAACAGCCAGAAAGACGGAGTAAGGTGCCCCCCCCAACAGTCCAAGCCTATAGCAGCTAAACTAACGTGTCTACATACATGCACTCCCTTAGGATAGGTTGAGGGAAAAGGGTAGCAAGTAAGAAGTAGGAAGCAGAGGTGGAGAGGCACACACAGGGAGAAAGGTCCCCACTGGTACCTGAATTGTTTAGAGGTAAGGAGTAGGTCTGTGACTACATTCCACACTCCCAGGCCGGGATAGGCCTTCTCTGCAACCTGTTACCCTCTAATAGAACCTCGAGAGGTCAGAGAGGGGAAAGGTTTTGGATAAAGTTTTAAATATAAGATCTAAGTTTTTAGGATTTAAGTGAAGAAGTAAAATGTATAGGTGAAGAGGCACAACGTATCTACGTCAATGCACTCTTATTAGATTCTTTTATTTGATCACTATAAGCTTTATAAGATGTTCTGTTTCTGTGAGCAGCTACATGTGGGTATTTCCAAAGCAAAGAGCTGCTGCGTTGCTCAAAACTGTTCAGATGTCTTTAACCCTTAAATGAGCAAGCACATAGGAATAATGAATGACTTTGTTCGAATGCATCTTGGCACATTTCAAGATTGTTCTTCAAAATATGGCTTTCATTTTCCATTTTACACTCTGCATCTCCTGTGGTACATTCCCCATTCAGGGTATACATTTACATATTTTTAAAGCCATATATTACCTATTTTACACCCGTATTAAACTCTATAACACCCACATTAACCACATATTACACCATAATTACGGCCTTAGTACACCCATGTTACACAGATATAAAACCAACATCACACCCATATTACACCGTTATAACACATATTTAAAATTCATATTACAATGACATTATACGCATACTATTGACACAGCCTGCCAAATGACTTTACCCTACAGAACACAGAAAACCATGTAAGGGTTCAAACGCAGGATGATGGTGAATGGTTTTTTTTTTTTTTTTTTCTTCGAGGGCAAAACTCACAGCAACAGGAAGTTCAACTGCTGCCAACTGAATGAAACACATGTTCACCTGCAGATTGCTCGCACAGCATGTAGTCTGTTGCACATTCACCCATTGATTCATCTGTCATCAAATTAAAGATTCAATTAGATACAATTCAGAAAAAAAACCGTTTCTGTGTGTTTTGTTACCCTGTGGTTACAACATCAGCAAATAGGAGGAATATGAATGTAAGATGTTGATGCAGCTGCTCCAACAGAACACAGAGGAATATGATTCAGAAAACTGAAATGCACTTCAGGCGCTTGTTTTTCAAATGTGTCTGTTAGAAAATATTCAGGACACCTCCGACTTTAGTCTAAATGAGCAGAAGCTAATTACACATATTAACAGTGTTTCTGTGCTGTTTCTGCAGGGAGACCTCCAGTCCACAGCTTCAGTTCAGACCATCGCCAGGACGGTCTGTGAGCAGCTCATTGAGAGTGAGTACACACACACACACACACACACACACACACACACACACACACACACACACACACACACACACACACACACACACACACCACACACACACACACACTTACTGTGCGAGGACTCAGGGGGAGGGTTATGGTTAGAATCAGGTTGTGGTCATGGTCAGTGGTTCATCTGTAATAAGGAACTTTGCCAGTGTGGAAGTACACATCTGAGTGTTTGTCACCACTAGAGAGATTAAGGGAACTCATGGGTTCAGTCCTCATTAGCTTATGTATGTCTAGCCTAATGGTAACATACAGAACATTTAGCATGGATGTTTTTGAAAGAAAGAAAGAAACTTTTTAGTGGGGTATTTTTTTTTAAATGTCCCAGAGACAGATCAGTCAATCAAATCAGGTTTGAGAATAAAAGCTAACAAATTACTCAAATGTTCCACGAAAGACCATGAAATCTAAATATATCATGATGTGGGGAAAAAGAAGAAGGCTCCCAGCTTCTCACATCCAGCCTGGTATTGCTTTGACCCTTTGAACATCCTCTATCCTGAGATATAATAAACATAGTGTTAGCTCCTACAGAGCGGTGACCTCATTCCGTGAAGAAATATGTTTTTTGGCTTTGAAAAAGTTTAACAAAGATTGGGTAAAAGATATAGAATACAAAGAGCAATCATTTAGCACGTGTTCTAGCTCGAGGTGTCAACAGTTTGACTGATGTCTCTTTTTGGGCTGCAGGGTTTTTTGTGACAATGACCATGAAATGTAGAAAGCAAGGCTGAGTGGCGGATCCTATCCAGTTCTATAATTAGTCCATGACAGTTAGCCACGCGTTACAGCCAGTTCCATGTATGACCTCCAGACATATGTCTTGCAGGATTGATTTCCTTTTGAAATGCTTCCCTATCCTGTGTCCAGGCCACATGGCTCGCTACAACTCCATCCTGAACCAGGCGCCCAGTCCACCAGTGTCCATCCGCACGGCACCAGGACCCCCCGGAGAGCCTGGCCGACAGGGGACCCCAGGGACTCAGGGAGAGCAGGGGCCCTCAGGAAGACCCGGCTTCCCAGGGCAGAATGGACAGAACGGGCAGCCAGGAGAGAGAGGTGAGGGGTCCTCAGAGGGACGAGTCACAGCCGGGTCAATACGGTTTCACATGCTCATACTGACGGATAAACTCGTATTCAGTGAAATCTTAAGTTTTGCTGCTTGGAAAGTTATATATGTGTGCCTGTAGAGGTCCCTACCAAGAAACAAGGCACTGTGACCTTCAACTTCCTGAACTCTGAGCTGTTTCACTCCTTCCTCTGCAATATATCCTGCACTTCTATGGAAGCAGCCCTATCATGGTGGAAATTAGGCTGATATTGTCTTTTTTGCAGTATAACATAGGGTTAGGGTTAGGGTTAGGGTTAGGGTTACAATGCCATATATTATTTAATACAAAAATAATATTTTTATAATCATTTTGAGGAGTGCAGAATTTAGGTTTTCCTACGACATCTGGTAAATCAGTTTATTTATGGCACAAATTAATGAGTTATGAGTTATTATGATGAATACATCACTTTTTAAAGCTCTATGTTTATTTTAAGTACCATCGGAAATCTGACATTTTTGTTGTTTCGTGACCATGATAAAAAAAAGCCATTTATTAAAGAAAATGCCTTTTCAATAAGATGCAGGGGGCAAAGGGTTGGATCCAAACTTTGTGGTGAATTTAAAGAGCATTTATGTAGCTCCTACATTAAAGGTGGGGTAGGTCATTCACTTCAGATACACTTTTTCTTGTATTCCATGGAATGCTCTTAACATCCCGATAGCAATGAATATCTTAAATGCTTTGACAATAAATACATAAAAAATTCATCTGTTGAAGCCGTGGTACTGTAAAAAGCACGACCAATCATCTGAGCTAAAGTAACTGGATGGCCTACCTGCCTGTCAGCCTTCCATCTGTGCACAAACTTATCTCCTGCCCTCATTGGTCCTGTGCGCGTTCGTGTGTGTTGGAGGAGGGGCTCTGTAAGGAAGTCTGAAGGAAGGGGCAGATTTCTTCCGGCTGTGTATTTTCAAATTCTAGCGCACTCGAGCTGGTTTCTCCAAAATTACCTACCCCACGTTTAAGGTTACTTATACATATTATTAAACTGACGTTTTCAATAATAATTTATTTTAAAATGAGTGAACATGGATTTATTTATGTTAATTCATTTTTCTTTTTAAATGTAGACTTTATTTCCCATCAGTCAACACTATTTATAAGAGAGATAGCTTGTGACTTGGATTTGAATGTGTGTGTCTGTTTGTGTGTGTAGGTCAACAAGGAGAAAAGGCGGAGAAAGGGTCTCCAGGCGTTGGAGTCCAAGGCCCCAGAGGACCCCCAGGCCCCCCCGGTACATAACACCACACACACTGTTCACCATATGATATCTCTGCTCTCCCACACCACTTCTCACACTCTTCCCCCCCCCAGCTTCCCCCACCCCTCCCAGCCCCTCGCCCCCCCCCCAGGAAACCCGGGGCAGGGCAGAACTGGCAGCCAGGGCACCTCAGGCAGACCTGGAAATCCTGGAACTGCTGGGCGGCCCGGGGTCCCAGGGCCCGTCGGTTCCGCTGGGCCCCCGGGGTACTGCGACCAGAACTCCTGCATGGGCTATAACGTTGGAGGTACGGAGGAATGAATCAGACTACAGTGATAATTACGACTAACTTCCAACTAGTTTCCTAAATTATTTATAATTAAAAGTATTTTCTCTCTTCTTATTAGAAATAAGCCCCTGGTATTGTTATCATATCAGTTATTGTATCTAATCTGCTTTTTTAAATAACAGATGATAATTGACACATGTAGTCTCCTGTATATAATGTACCATGGTAATTGTAGAAAACATGTTGCTTGAAAGCCATCAGCTGTCTAAACGTGGATATTGTAAACAGTTGAACTGAGCATGAAAAGCTTCTGAATGCTGAGAGGACGTCTTTTGGATTGAAGGTTGTTGTGTTAAATGTTTAATTCAGTCGGTGTCTTTTCATGATGAAAAGCTGCCGTGAGTTAAACAGCTGCATGAAGTCACACAACCCCCCCCGGGGTGTATTTCTGAAATGCATGAGAACGTTTTTTTTCTGAAATGTGTATGATGAGCATCAAGTATCATTTGTTATCATCATTTGTATTTATTTATTGTTTTAATAAGGGTCACTTCACCCAAATCCCAGATAATAAAGATTGTTTCATGTCATGTCACTCGGTGTCAAACCAAACAAAGAAAGTCCAAATTGTTCTTGCGAGCGGAAACATGTTTGTATTGTGATTTGGGTGAAGTAGCCCTTTAAGTTTGACACTGCATGGTCTTCTGCACAAACAGTAAGTGGTCGGGAACAAATCAGTGCCTGAACGCTGCACCATGACACATGACGGAGACCGCCCTGTTAAATCACTCTGGGGGGGTTTAGTCAGTTTACTATAAAGATGTGTCATGGGGGCTTTTCTATTTCATATAACACCATTTAATACAACAGAAATCAGCTAAAGAGCAACAAATGACTCAAAATACACATAGATGTTGCTGCTAGCATATTTTTGTTTCTGTTACATTTGAACTTGCTCTCCAAATGAATGAATTTGAAGGTCAGGAAATGCTATTCTAACAGCTTCACAGTTCCTTTGAGCTCTCTACACATACACAAAACAGCAATACTGTCTTTTGAAAGACTGGAAATAAATTGATATCATTAACTCTGACCATTGTTAAGAAAACCCTAGATGAGTCATCTTTTAAACGCATGATTGTGTTGAGCGTTAAAGTTGAGCCTGCGTCATGTGAGTAAAGTCTGCATGTTGAACCACTCATCTGTCTTTGTTTCTCCATCTCTAATGTTTGTCAATGCTTGTTTACAAATTGTCCTCTTCATAACTCTCAGCATAGTCTTTTACTCAAAGCTGAGATGATTCACAAACTGTGACAACGACCCCAGCAGGGATCCTTAGCTGAAACTGCTCTGCTCTCTACATACACATCATTTAATATAGAGCATTGTCTTTAAATAAAATGGTTACCAAGTGGTTTGTATAACACAACATTAATGCGTAAAATTCATTCAAAACTAAATGGAAAATATGTTTAGTTTAAAAATAGTTTAGTTAATTAAACACATTCAACACATGTAGGCCTTTCTCAGTCTAAGATTCTCACCTTTAGGCCCATTGGTCGTTACTTACGAAACACAAACACGTAGTCTTATATGTTCAGTTAATTCCCTGTGCATTTCTTGGGGACAATTTTCAGAGGTGGATGTATCCACGTTTGGTGCTCTATCAGTGTGTGTAGCAGTAGGACGTTGGTGTGGGATTAAGAAACTAATAAACACACAATAGTTGTAAGTTAATACATTTAGTGTTGGTTTGAGGATTTGAATGTAATTTGTTGAATATAAAAGAAATACAGACTATCACCAAATATAATTCAGAATGAGTTCCAGCTGATATTCTCTGATCTCGCTCTGACATGATCGTCCTCTCCTGACTTTCCTTCTAGATTACGATCACCCGGTGCCTCTGCTTTAGACCACAGTTTTACTGATTTATAATAAAAAACATATTAATCCCATAACAGGTCCTAAAACCTCATCTGCACCACAATTTATAAATAACAGATCTAATAAGTGCCTGGACTAAGAGACATTTGGACAAACATTAAGCTAAATTATTTCTACTTCTAATTTATCCCTCCCTTTAACCACTGCTTTCAGTCCCAAACAGTAACCCTGATTTAGTAACCCATGGTAACCCTTCGTAACCCTGACTCAGTAACCTATGGTAATCCTGATTCAGTAATGGTAACCCTTGGTAACCCTTGTCCCTCTGTCTCTCTTGCTCCTTCCTTCTCTTCCCTTCCCTCTCCCTGTCTCATTAACCAAATCAAACGCCAACAATCCGAAACATTGCTTCCTTTGGTGTTGGGTGGCGGCCATCTTTGTGTTGGGCTCTCACTGACTTTCTGCCCGTCTGATTGGTGTTCTGGCTGGGTCGCTTCCTGGTTGGTTGGAAAACGCAGAGGGTGAATATGTCACTGACCAGGGCCCTGTCCCCGCAGTCCAACTGCCGCCCAACGTCTTCCAGAACTACGGCGAGGCGGAGGAGGATGACCCGTACCGGTACTACGAGCCCAGCTACCCGGCCCCTAGGCCTGTTGCCCCCGACGACCCCTCGCTCGCCCTGGAGGACATGGATCTGAGATCCTCCGGAGTCCGCCGCAGCTCCCGGAGCGTGGGGGGGGGGGGAGAGAGGGGGGCCCAAGAGGAAACAAAAAAGAGCAGCGAAGATGCCGCCTGGACTAAGTAAATGAGAGGAGCTGATTGGAGGATGGAGGGCCGTTCCTTGTTTGTGATTGGGCGGTGTGGAGAAGTTAAGGACTAATCAACAAGTGCCTGATGTAGAGGATTTCTTATGAACATTATAAAGGGGGCAGGGTGGGGGTCAGTTTGGGACTAATTTCACTAATCTACGCTATTGAATTATCTCCAAAACAGGTTTACGTTGTTTGAATTGGTTTGTGTTATTTTTGTGTCACAGTTTCAGCCTAACTGGGATATATACTTTAACGGTTTCTCTGATCAAAGTCAAGTCTCTCAAACATTTCGTCCTTTAATTATTGGGTTATTTGTTATGTACCTGGTTGGTTAAGTGCCTCCTAATATTGCTGCGAGCATTGATGGCTGCTGTTCACAGTATGGATGGTTTACAGTGTGTTGAGTTCAAAGAGAAGAGGCTTTATTTGTGCAAACATTTACAAATATGTAATTTGTTACCTTGAACAAATACAGATTTATCTACGTTTTAACTGTTTTTGGAAACATGTGGGACATTGTGAGTACATACTCAACAAAAAATCTAACATAGGACTAGACATTTTTATACATTTTATTATGGGAATAAACTCATATTATAAGTCCCATACCGATATGCTAACAGCTAATGTTAGCTCCATCTGTTGCTTCACATTAAAGATCTCTGGCAACTCAACCAACCTACACAAGATGTACAGCAAATCAGCAGGAAGTGATCCAGAGTCTGAACCTGAGTCTTCACTCTTATTTTAATATGTTTTTTTGTTTCCTCCATGTGTTTGTTTCAAGGTTCCTAATAGTAGAACCCAGGTGATTTTAATCTTTACAAAAAAAAAACAAAGAAGCAGTTATTTATGTTCATGTTTTTGTTCTCCATTTATCATGTGATGTATCATATTTTTAGTCTGAGAGAGCCTTAGACACATTTTACATTTTAAGATCATTATTTTTGTTTTGTTTCAATCACATTCAGTTACAGTGTTACGCTCAAACTGATGTTGCTCTGTATTTGAGAAGGTTGATGAGAAGTTGTAAAAATTAGACAAAAACAGATATTATATTTCTGAGTAAAAGTTTTTCAGTTTAGCTGTCAGGTTTGTGACAGAAGCTGTTTGTCATGGGAGTGATATGTTTTTGTATTTCTAAGACTTGCAATCTGTTTTATTTTCTTTCTTCCTTTTTTGTTTTGATTTTGGATTTACTTTTTCAGGAGCACATGAAAAGTGAAAAATAATCTAGTAACCATGTTCTAAGTGTCTGCTGTGTGTTTGTCTTGTCAGAACAGGTGGATGAATATATACATCTAATTGCCAGGATCATTGCACTTTCCACCAGAGGCAGAACTTCAACACCACCACGTTATAAATAAGACTGGAAATTAATTTGTAGTTAAAAAAAAAAAATGTAAAAGATAGAAAAAGGACATTACATTATTTTAACAAACCCTTCTTAGGCTGGAGCCACACAGGAACGGTAACGGTCGTATCCGCTACAATTCTCTATCATATAGACCAGGGGTGTCAAACTCAATTTCATTGCGGGCCACATTAGCATTAAGGTTGCACTCAAAGGGCCGGTTGTAACTATATAAATATATAATATATATGAAATAATGTATTATATTATATTATTGCCTCTGCATTGGATTTGTATTGGATAGGGTAATAACTTCATAATTAGCTACGTCTGAAAGCAGAAGTCTAGGGCAAATAATTGCAAGTCTCTTCAGTGCGCATGTCATAAAATGAGATGCATTGTGGGACATGTAGTTTATGGGGAACCTGCTTCTGTAAAATAAGATAAAATAAAATAAGATGGAGCTTTATTAATTTCCCTGTGGGGAAATTCAGTAGTTTCTCAGTTTAACAGCAACAGGGTAAGATTGAAAAACAGGACAGCACAGATTCACACAGATTAATAAAATTAAGGATAAATCAAAGATAAAAAATAAAAATAAGAAATAACTATAAAATAAGAAATTAATTAAAATGAACATAATTAAAGTAGCATGTAACGTATAATAAAACGTATTATATTCTTGCAAGCTCTTGTGGGCCACATATAATGAAGTCACGGGCCGGATTTGTGCCCCCGGCGCCTTGAGTTGACACCCTGCCTTAGTTGCACATGGACGGCAATGCATTGTCAGCGTGGAGAGTCAACACTTCTCTGCTCATTGTGTAAACGAGCTTCTTTAACCACAAAGCTTTTTTTACACCAAAATCAACTATACAGATTTACACTGATAAAAACCTATTTGCTATTAAAATAAGCCCACAACAGGCTTAAACAGGATTGATACAGATACAATAACAGCTGAAAATAATTAATTATTACTAAGATTACAGCAAAGTAGATAAGGGCAATCTTTCAGCTAAAAAACTAAACATGACTTCAAAAGGTAAATTACGTACTGAAAACAAAAAACAGCCAATCAGAAAATTTGCCATTTTTAGTAGATTGGTTTACGAGAAATATTTGATATATATATGTAGGTTATAGTATGTAAACACTATAAATCCAAGTATGTTTGAGTATCCAAGCTATAAGTAAATGGTCTTTTAATGCTTTAATGTTTTTGCAAATTGTCCCATGAAGCAACTCGCTGATAAGCACTAAGGCCGGTCTGATCTCTGGGATTTGTTTTGAGTGCGTCCATATCTACACGGACCGTTACTAAATATGCTTTTGAATGCATGAAATTACAGAGATAATTGAGCTGATAGACCAGCAGGCAACATTGCACAATGTCTTTCTTTTGTTTTCTTTTTTTTGTTTTTTTTTCTTGTTTTTCTGTCTTTTTTTGGTTTTCTCATTTTTGCCTTTCTTTTTTCTTTTTTTTTTTTCTGTTTTTTTTTTCCTGTGTTTTTTTTTTTTTTTTCTTTTTTTGTGTTCTTTTGTGTTGTCTTTTCTTTGTTTCTTCTGTTTCCGTGTTTTTCTTTGTTTTTCTTTTTTCTTTTTTTGTCTTTTTCTTTGTTTTCTTTTTTTTTGTTTCTTTTTTTTTTCTTTTTTTTTTTCTTTTTCTCCGTTTTTCTTCTTCTTCTTTTTTTTCTTTTTTTGTTTTTTGTTTTCTCTTTCTTTTTTTTTTGTTTTTTCTTTTTCTTTTTCTTTTTTTCTTTTCATGTGATGCTGACTTTTGATGTGGCTGCCTAACAAAAATGGCAATCAGTGTATTAAAAAAACAAAACAAATCTAATGCACACTATAAAGTGAAAATAAAGGAGCTTTCGGATCAAACAATGCTTTGTGAGATGAAGCTTAATAAGCTCTAAGTGGTCCATAATGAGGGTTCCACATTAACTACCTCGATCCCAGA